ATAATTATTCATGAAAAACTGTATAAAAGTGAAACTATTTCTGATCTGTTTGGCTCATATGGTAAAATTTCCAGTCTTTCAGGAAAATTCTAACATTGAAATATCATTTAGATACTGTTGAAAAAAAGAAAAAATTATTATGTGATGGTCTGATAAGGTTTATTGCATGTCAGATCTAAGTGTTAGGTCCTCAAGAAATTAATGTCGCTTTTTTTTAGATGAAAAAAACCCGAACAACTTGTATATCAAAACAACATTTATTAAATAAAATAGTATCCATTCTTATTGATGGTGCTTTTACATCTTACAATCAGGTTGTTAATGTCCTGATTAAAGAAATCGCTTGGCTTTGAAGCAAAAAACATGTTGATGTCCTCTTTAATACCTTCCGTATTTGCATACATTTTCCCAAATAGATGGTGCTGCAGCGAACGAAAAAGATGGTAATCTGATGGTGCCATATCTGGAGAATATGGTAGGTGGAGGAGAACTTCCCAACCCAACTCCATAATCTCATGTTACGTTAAACGTGCTACATGTGGACGTGCATTGTCGTGGAGAAGAAGAACATCTTTCCGATTGACGAGTGAAGGGCGTTTCTGATGAAGGGCCTGATTTAAGCGTTCCAGTTGCTGACTATAGATCTCTGCATTGACAGTTCGCTGTTGATTGAGGAGTTCGAAATTAATTACTCGTTCAATGTCCCACCAAATGCAAAGCATCGCTTTCTGAGAATGAAGTCCAGGTTTTGGGGTCGGAAATGGTTTTTGTCTAGGACTGAGCCATTGTTTTTGGCGTTTAATATTCGCATAAAGAATCCATTTTTTATCACCTGTGACAGTTCTGTTCAAAAATGGTTCACGCGCATTACGCGCCAGAAGATACGAAGCAACGTTCACACGTTGTTCATCGAGAGTTCGTGAGTCACCCAAATACCTTCTTTATGGAGTTTTCCCATATTCCTTAGATGTTTACCTATTGTTTCATGAGAGACATGCAATTTCAGGGTTATTTCCCGAGTGTGTTGCCTAGGTTTAGATTCAACAAGCGTCTTCAGAGCATCAATATCAATTCCAACATGTCGGTCCCTGCTATCACAGTTTTTAAGGCTAAAGTCACCTGAATGAACTTTGCTGAACCATCATTGACACTTACGAACGTTCAAAACATTTCCATAAACTTCTTTATGGCTACAGAGGCGTTATTTCCCGTATTGTATTCAAACAGCATTACATGCCGAATGTGTGTGTCTCGTCGTGTGCCATCACTACAAGGAATTATAGTGTACTAAACACATTATATAAGCTACACTAACGTGACGTTTAGGCGGTTCCTTTAACTATTATACGTGATGTGTGTTTTTTGGGGGTGGTGGTTAATGAAAGTGTTCCAAAACGCGACATTAATTTCTTGACAACCTAATATATATGAAAATATATCCAAATATTACTCAAATGTCATACTGAAATGACCTTGGGACTTCTACTCCATGTTTGAGTCGAGTCACAAGGCAGAGTCAAGGCTTCTGACAAGTTTGTTTGTTGTGTTTTGTGTGCTATTTTGGGCCATAATGTAGGCTGATACTGTCATGTTATCAAAACTTTTACCTGGCTTTGGAGCTTGATAATCATTTACATTTTTATCCCATAGTATACAAAGGATACATTTATCTGATACTTATTAATATACTGTTGAAAAACTAGCTTTCATATCTGTTATAAAATGTTCTACACAGACTTCTGTAGTTTGGTTCCTAGTCTTTCCGATTGACAGCTGAAATCAATCAATTCCGTCGCTCTTTGTCTTTTGGAAAAACGATATGAAGCAAGACGGAACATTTGTCCCAGTCTTTGCTACATCTAACAGCACAACAAGCAATTACCATGATGGTACCTGATGAATCCAAGACATTAAGTCATTTAAGACAAGTAAAGTTAAGTTCACACTGCTAAGCCTGGAGTAAACAGGTGATATCTTGGCGTCCACAATGGCCAAGACTCCGGGATTTCCCAGCTCGTGACGTCACGGGCAAAATTTCAATAGGAAGGAATATATTGAGTCCATGGCTATCTTGGACAACATGAGTTTTTCAACTGAAAGTATCTTTACACTTGCTTATACTTAGGTGTACAGTAAGAAGAGTTAAATGGATTTCTGAGCTTAAAAAAAATTATCCCACACTAAGAAATTATTTTCATGTTTTTATCACTAGAGTCCAGATAATCCTGTAATTGAAACTCTCAAGAATGTGAAGCCATAAAACTTGTTCAGATTACTAGTTACTTTTCACAGAATATTACCCAATTCCTTACAGAACCAGTTGATAATGAAGACTTTAGTGGAGTTATTTTTGTGCTAATAAAATTATCTTTTTATAAGAGAATAAATTCTGTCAAAGACATAGTTTGTGGTGAAAAGATTAATATAATAAAGAACTCAACTACCTTAATCTTCTATCAAGAAAGTTGTCTTAAATTTGTCATATGATTGGCTAAAAACAGGTATGTTACTAACACTAATAACTTTATTAGAGGAAAAACCGGTGAAGTGATTAAACATTGCAAGAACTTCCAGTTCTTAAGCACCTGATAACCACTTATGTAATAGTGATCCCACTGTACTTGTTTTAATAGAGTTTGGTTTTCAAGACCTATCTCAGTCTTACACAAACTTGGGTCTTTGTCCGTGATTAGTATAAGCTACCTGCCACAGCTCAATCCTTTTAAGTTTTCCAGTCATTGCCAGGTATTATAATATTTGACCAGCATCCTGGAAACTCTACAAAGCCAGAAAATATCTAGTCATTGCCAATTATTGTTATATTTGGCCTGTCATTTAGAAACTACCAAACTTTTTAATTAGTGACACCATGACATGTGATTTTTCACCTGGAAACCATTAGCTTTAGACAGTCTTTCTGCTAATGAAAACCAGCGATTTTCTGTCCACATAGTCTGGAGTATGGTTTCATTTTAAGGCCATTACTAAAAAAAAAGTAAGAATGAGTGAGAATAAAATACTTAAAAACTAAAGTCATCAAAGCATATAACATGTATGATATCAATTAATATTTACATTTCACTCTGACTTCATCTTTATGTTAATGTACATTCTCCAAAATAAGCTCATTATTTCTCTTTAATGATTAATGTTTTATCTTTCAACCTGCAGTAGCATTGCAATAGTAGCTGAATGTCTCCAGAATTAATGTATTGAAAAAAATTGTATTTTTCTCCTGGACAGTTAACATGTTTTCAATGGATGGTGAGACTTCTTGCCTCTGTTTGATCAGTAAACAAATAATTTATTATAGCACTTGTGTTTGAAGTTATAAAGAGTGACTGGTTCATTATATATATATGCAAGATGGATAGCTTACATGATTGTGATGAGAGTTCATTAATAACCTGTTACATATATTATGAATACTAAAAGTATTTTACATTTGTCTAAGTCTACTAAAAGATGGCACCACAAGTCTAGACAAAATGTTAAAGAAGCTGGGTTGTCAAAAATAATTATAAAAAAAAGACTAATTATACAAGATTTTAAAAAATGAACCCTGTTTTGAAGAACCACTTTGTTACTTTTAGGTCTAATAATTTATAACCTGTACATTTATCTTTTGAAATTAGTTATCTGATGTAAAAGTTTTCCTTAAATTTATTAAACAAAACATGTCTTTGGAGGAGTTTTTAAGTAAGGATTTTAATGAGCAACTTGTTACGCAGGTGTTATAGATTCTGTTATACTGTGTAGTAGTATTAATTGAAATTATTCAGATCAATTTCTCATCTAAGATGTATATATAATTTAAAAGAGTTGTTTTATAAAAGTTAATATTTTTAATGTTTTCTTGAAAATAATTGAAATTATGTAACAATAGATTCATAAATCTAGCGTTGAAACAATTGGAAATTCTGTATGTGTGCTGAAGCCGTTAAACTTGGTGGTTGTACTAAAATGCTCCAAATTAACAGAAGTCAGTTGACTCTCATTTACATTCAGCTCAAGTATGACAGAAAAGTAATGATATGGATGAGTCATTCCAAATTAAAGAAATTCTTTAACCACACCCTTATTGACGAGAGCAAGATTTCTTGTAGTGACCTGTCTCGCAGGCTTTCATGCTATATCTAATTAATACTGACAATGTAACTAAATACCTTAGAGTAGGTTGAACTGCCCCACCATGTTGTTCATACCTTCAGTATTTTGGAATTTTTTGCCAGGCTGTTACTTGAATTCATTGACTGCCAGACTTTGTAAAACAAGTTAAAATATATGAATAAAAAGTGCGGATAAAAATATAAGGCTTAATTATGTTGAAGTTTTTTAGGTTAAACTGAGGTCCGATTTTGGTCATTGGAATTTTTTGCCAGACTATTAAAAACTGAATTTAAAGATAATGCTTAGCTGTGTTAAAGTTTTTGAGGTTGAAATGAGTCCCAGTATGTTGTTCATACATTCAGAATTTTTTGCCAGACTGTCATAAGTTAAACCAATCTCTGGTGCATTATTACAAAACTGTTCTTTGTCTAGGTTACAACACTAAATAATTTACTTTAACCCCTTTTGCATCATTAATGTTTTTGTGAAGGTTACAGCATCTGTATGAAATATGTTATACCAACCTGTGGTGAATTACTTGAAAACATTTCTTGTTTTGGTTACAATATCTACATTTAAATAATAGACAATGAGCCAAAATTAGCACATATTCTGTGTTTGAATGCTTTACTTCTAATGTAGTTATTAACAGTTACAGGTATGTATAAATAAATGAGACTTGTTCTTGTGGAAGACCTGTATGCATTGAAGGTGATGATTATGATAATGCTTCCTAGTTAGACTTCACTAACATGAAATTTACAAACTATAATCACGTGTATTGTGTATTAATGAAGATTTACTAATGTTCTTAATGCAGTAACTTAGTCAGTAATAACATTGTGTAACTCTTAAAGTGTATGTAACTATTAGGTATGTTTTTATTGTAGAGATGGCAGAGACGTTGGTTTGTACTCTATGATGATGGAGAACTTACTTACTCAGTTGATGAGCACGTAAGTTGATCTTATCTGTTATCACAAACTTAAACTACTTTAGAATTACAATATCTAAATGATACTGTTGGGTTATAAAACTTTTTTTATGCCTTGAGACTATAATTTATTTCATGTGTGCATTGTATAAGGATATGTTTTTTAAGTTATGTTATTCATTTGAAAGACGTAATTTGTTTACTTGTGCTGCATTTCAGCATCTTTCCTCAGCTTAATTCATTGTATGAAAAATTGTATTGGAAGTTATCAAGTCTTTGGTGTTTTTGTTTCAAAAATATTGTTTCCAATGATACACTGTTTTTGGTATTTTTAAAATATTGTTTCAATATTTATATATTTTCTGAATTTTATATTTTGTATATTTTTAACTGTAATGCATTTTACAAAATATATTGTTTGAATTTGTGTAGTGTATCAAGACAAATATATTGTTTTTGTTCAAGTATCTATTAACACTGTTTTCATTATTCTTGAGCATGGCCATAACCAGCTATGGGGCAACCAGTTGCCCTGGTTGTTTTTTTCTGAGTGATTTTTTTTCTCTCCAAAATCTGTTATTCATTCATTCTACTGACAGTAAATGTACACCTGGCCTTTATGTTTACTTGAACAAACTCCTGTGGGTAGAGTGTAAATTGAACAAACCAAAACCCCTCTGAGAATTGCATAGAATGGCTGTGAGAGGGCTAAAATTTCAAATTTTTCTTGGTGGGCTTACAGCTCCCCCCAAAACCCCCAACTGATTGTCATTCCTTGTCCTGGTAAATTTATATCTCTGGTTACAGCCATGCTGAGTACAGAGTTTGTAGATTTATTATCTCTGAAGTAGAATGGGTTATAAAAGTAAAAGTTTAGTATGGTAAGCCTCATGCTGCTTTAGTGCGTAGTTGTTTTAAACTGGAAAGAGGTTGCATGTATATCCTTTTAGTGAGGATAAGGTTTGAGAATACATGTCAGTATCGCTTGGTCTACTGCCTTTGAGTGGGGTTATTGCCTCTGTGACCTTTTGTATATAGGTATGATCTCTACAAGACAGTTCATGCATATTGTTCACAAAGTATTGAAACATAAATCTTGGCTCTTTATGCTAAAATAATCTAAATATTTTATGTATAAAAAAGTGGAAAAGATATATATGTGTGTAGAAAATGGAAAAGACATATACATGTTTGAATACGATTAGAAAATATTACCTGTCATGATGAAATTTGAAGCTTTAGAAAACCTAGCACTGTTTCTTACATACTATAAAAATGTAATTAATATATATTCTCAAACAGACAGATGGATATGGTCTTAAAAAGTTTGGTATGCAAAAACCCTTCAAAAGTTTAAATAATCTTAATGATGAGGTAATGCAAGATTCCAGATACCCAGAGCATCAGGTGGGGAAATTTAACTCAGTCAGGTTAGCTAACTAGTTTATTCATTTCCTAGCCTGACACTGTACCTCAGGCTGTGATAGACATGAACAAAGTGTTAGAAGTCTCAGATGGGGAGAATGTCACAGGAAACCAGTTTTCTATTGCTATCACAGCCCCAGACAAGGTCCACTTTATCAAAGGAATGAGCAAAGAAGAACGAAATTGGTGAGATTGAATCTTAGAAACATTTTATCTGTTATGTGGAAGGTGCTTTCTGATTCACTTTGTTTATGTATTCATTATCTGAACTTGAACTGTCTTTCAAAACATTCTCAAAATATAATATCAAAATCTTAACATCTTGTTTTTTCATATTTATAGGCAAAATAAATGCAAATTAATTGGTTAATACTATAACCAACCAATATCAACATGTAACTTTACATTAAAAATGTTTTGTGTGATTTTCTGATTCAATATTCTGGAAAGCTGGTTATTATCTCTCATATCAGTGACTAGAAGAATTTAAGTTATGAGTTCCTTTATCATTTTTTCAGAACAGTTTTTCTCAATAAAGAAAGTACTTTTGTAGATAACTGTTTGTCCTTTTAACAATTTATAAATCATAACTAAAGTTTTCCTTCACCAAATTCATTATTTATTAAGTCTTAAGATTCTGTAGATTAAATAGTTTGGATTTTTCAGTAAGTTTTCAGCTTAACTTGTGATCAGTTGAAGTATTGCTGGAATATGTAAAACTTTGAAAATTTTTAATTTTTCACACCCTCAAGTCATTTAATATATTTAAAACATACATTATACTATAATCTTGTTATATTTAGGAACTGTTCTGAAACCATGTATTAGAAAATGTTACCTGTATTGAAGATTAATGAAATAATATTGCTTGACATCGGGCTGTGATTTCATAAAATCAACATACTTTTAGTCTCTGTTACATAAGCTGATTAGTAGGATTTAAAAATGTTGATAATAACTTTCATTTACTTCCCTTGTCTGTGACTTACGAGTCTGTGAATTAGATTTTTTTCAGCTGGGTGGAAAAATTTAGTGTTTGTTGGTAAAATCATCAATTATAATGTTAAAGTATTTGACAGATTATTCTTTTCTAAAAACATGTGATTTCTCTCATCTTTAATGTGATTCCAAAGGGTACGATTGATTCTTGTGAGTGGGTCAAAAGTTTACGTGATGAGGCTTAAATTTGGAAAGAAGGAATGATCAGTCTTGTATCATATATCTTATTTATAAGTGTTTATTTGCAGGATTAAAGATTTAGATATAAGCAAATGTAATGACCTATTTAAATAGGGAACACTTCTAAAATTCACAATTTTTTAATAAACAAGTTTATTGTCTGGTTAAAAATATCATTAGCTAATACCACGCAACTTATTTAAAAATAAGTTTCAAGTGGAAAAATTCCCAATTTTTTAAATTTAAAATTGTTTAATTAATAACTCATCAACATTTTATATAAACTATTAAACTGAAACATAAAGTCACCCCTCTCGAGAACTTGACCTCATAAATTATCTCCAAGGGAGGGACTTGCTAGCAATAATTTAGACCTACAGGCTTTTTAATGCTAACACTAATCTCCTGGTGAGGATGTTTTTATAATCACTGTAGATTTCTTTTTGATTAAAAGTTTATTATAATTCCATGAATGTAGTTAAAAAATGCTGTACTTAATTAATAAATCTTGAATGCTCAAGGGGTGATGTCATGATAGAGTAATAGAAAATTTAGATTTAAAGTGATAATTTATATTTACACACACGCACATATATTTAAAATTGTAATCTTTTTCTCTGTATCTTAGAAATGAAATTGAATTATGAAAGGTACCTTATTTGGAAATGTAACAGAAGGTTGCTTTTATGTTTACAGTATGTAACAGAGTGCTACTGTTAGCTTATTTGGAAATGTAACAGAAGGTTGCTTTTATTTATCCTGGAAATGTAACAGAAGGTTGCTTTTATTTATCCTGGAAATGTAACAGATTATTCCATTTATGTGTACAGTATGTAACAGAGTGCTACTGTTAGCTTATTTGGAAATGTAACAGAAGGTTGCTTTTATTTATCCTGGAAATGTAACAGATTATTCCATTTATGTGTACAGTATGTAACAGAGTGCTACTGTTAGCTTATTTGGAAATGTATTGATAGTAAATGTTTACAATATATATTTTTTTATTTTAATGTTAACAGGCAACAAACACTTATGTATATCTACTAATTTTATAACCTGGAGATGAATAGTAGTTTTGAAAGGATTGTCCTTTTCGTTTTGCAGGTGGTTTGATGTGTTGTCACGGTTTCCAACTAATACAATAAGAGGTAGAAACAAGAGGTTTGCAACCATTCCTGGTGGTAAAGCAACAATAACAAATGTTTCAAAGCAGGTATTTCATCATCTGTCACCTTCTATTAGTGTATGTTATGTTTTTGTGTTAACAATAACTGTAACTTTCTTTAAAACACTGAAAATTGGTAACCTTGTTCAATAGCACTTTTGAAGATTTGTATCCGTTAGAGATTTATTTCTCACTCCATCTGTTGTTTAAAAATAAAGCTGCCAACAAGAATTATATGCCTTTTTTTCTGTTTTTATCTGAAAGTAATTAAAACTGCTTAATTTGTTCTGCTTGAATTCTAGACAAATATGATTTGATGTTATTTAATATAAATTATAAAAGTACTAATTTGCCATCACATAGATAACCAGCAGAGCAGAGAAATTAGGTCTGTTAAGAACAGGAGGTTCTCAAATCTCTTGCTTTGAGATGTGTTTCTCCTTGGGTTGCAACAGATAGATCAGAACAAGACACAAGTTTACATAAGCAACAAATACATAATAGAACTTTCACACTTTACAATATGAACAACTATATGGTATTATAAACAGCAATATAGTTAACAATAAAGTAAGTGATCTTTTGTGTGAACTTCATTGTTTATTAGTCATCATTAGCTCTTGTCAGTCACACCACTTGCAAGGGGGATCTAGCCACACTGACATGAACTTCATTGTTTATTAGTCATCATTAGTTCTGTCAGTCACACACACACACTCATGTTAGTATAGGTAGATACCCCTTGCTAATGATCTGACTGACAAGTGCTAATGATGACTAATAAGCAATGAAGTTCATGTCAGTATGGGTAGATCCCCCTTGCAAATGGTGTGACTGACAAGTGCTAATGATGACTAATAAACAATGAAGTTCGTGTTGGTGTGGGTAGATCCCCTTTGCAAGTGAAAATAAGTGAAAGTTAAAAGTTTAAAAAAACTAAATGAAAAGTACACCAAATTAAGTTAAATATCACCCGAAACAATATTAAAAAAAATAATGTATGTGAAATCTAAAATCCTACTTGGATAACTAATAGAATCACACAAACTTAAATCAACAGAAAAACTGTAAATACTAAGAAAAACTACTGAAAAACATTGGAATTAACACTAAAAACAACTAAAAATTGTGTAAAATCTGCTTTAAATCTGTTCTCTCAAATCCAAATTGTCTTAAATAATTCAATAGACCCTCAAGTTTCTAATATAGAAAACGAGTGATTGTTAGAATAGCTTGGAACCAGGCAGTGTCAACCAAGAGCAAATCCATTCAAAAACTGTTATCTGATTTGCCAACAAGAATAACTCAGCTCACTAATTAAATCCAATATTGTATTGGCAGTCATTATATCTGGTGTTTTTGAACGGTTCCAAATTTTAATTGTTCTTTTACTCACCATTGTTAGAAACAATTCTGATATCCCTGGTGATTTTATCAGGAGTGCCTCTGTTCTACAACAATTCAACACATTTAACTGTCAACAGATCTCTCTGCACCTGACCAAAGACAACATAATTAAATTTTAACTTTTTTTTAACCAAGGGGTCAAAAAACATATAGTATGTCTTCATGCTACACTAATATAAGCATTGGAATTGGTTTTCAAAATTCGATCTTTGAAATAATTTTAAAAGCTTAGAATTCAAGGTTAACTAGAACATTTTTAAACTAAACATAAAATAACTGAACTAATTTATCATGATCAAAATTCCCCAAAAAGACCTTGTAGAACTTAGAACAATGACATGTAGCTGGTCACGGAATTTGGATTATTTTCTAATATTTATTTTGGAAATAAAATATGCCCAAATCCCAAATAACCACTGAGTAATGTTATTTGATTCACGAAAAACACATTTGTGGTGACTAAATGAAATGTGTAACTTCCATAATAATTGTTAGTGTAGGCAGTGGTGGGATTCAGCCGGTTCGTACCAGTTCGTGCAAACATGTTCTTAGAATTTAATGACCTCCACGAACCGGTTGTTAACAATCGTATGTATAGGCCTAATAATAACGTTACAACTTACAAGTACGCGTGGTCTCTATCGGGTCAATATGGCATGCTGCTAGTGAGAGAACCTGTTGTTAAAATATTTGAATCCCACCACTGAGTGTAGGTAATAATCCTCTGATGATTTGTGAGCTTCTTACTCTTCAGAGCCAATAATTGTGCATGTTTCACTGGTTCTTTATGTTTACACTAGTATTTGATGGTTTATGAAGTCATTACCCTTCAAAGTCCGTGATTATGTATCTTTCATTGGCTGGTTCTATACACTTAAATTGGTATTTCAGATTTGCTTAAACTGTCAGATGTGAAGTTTTTAAATATTTTGAAAGTTTGAATCTTCCTTCTAGATTTTTTCAAGTAAACTTCTGTATTCCCTTATGAAAAGAATCTTCTTCTTTGGCATCTTTCATTATTTTTGTTAATATCTGTGTTGTTTATATTTCTTAATATCATTATCATAAATGTTGATTTTAGTGCAAATACTCCTTCAGTGCATAATATTAACTTACCTTTCTACCACTGAATATCTATTATTTTCTATTAATTTACAAAGTGGAGAATTAATAAGAATAGGGACTTGACTTCTACTTTACTTGTGATCATTTGAAATTTATATTTTATAAATGTGATGATCTACCTTTTTGACAGACATTAGTTTTCTCTTGAGTGCATGCTGATTTTGTTAGGTTTAACAAGTGCAGAACACTTTCAATGAACATTGTAACAAATGCAACATTTTTACGTACTACACAATATACATATATGTTTGATAAGTTGGATTTTAAACAACATTAATGATGGAATGCAAGTTTTAAACAAATGCTTATTGCTTTGTTATTTAGGTATCAACAGCTATTAAAGTGTAACCTCAAAATAGTTTGACAGCAAGATTAGGTAAAATCAGCTTTACCTGTAATTATTTTAACGTTCCTTTTTCACTCTACAGCACGTATTTCTTTCTGGTAAAGTAAGGTTCATGTAATACTTTTTCTTTGCTTAGTTTTATTCAAAATGTCATTAAAGATGACAGCAAAGAGTTGAAAATAAATGACTATGCAGAAATGATTGAAATTTTATATATCATGACAACTCTAATAAAAAGTGAAATGTTTGCTTATGATTTCTTTATACGTATAAAAATCAGAATATTCATTATGTATTTAATATTATATTGGCAGTCATCGTGTCTCGTGTTTTTATGTATCTGAATTTAATTCCCATTATTGTCCCTTACTCACCATTGCTAGAATGGAAACAATTCTGATATCCCTGGTGATTTCGTCAGGAGTGCCTCCACTAGACAACGATTCAACACGTTTAACTCAGAATTTTTGTCATGCCATGATCCAGATCTGTCATGGGAAAAGTTTCAGAAGACCAAAACAACAGAGGATGTCTTTCCGACCAAAGAGAATGAAACTCTTATCCTTGAAAAAAAACTCACATCAACGCCTGTAGAGAAAAATATTGTGATTAATAATAAACTGGAAAGTAGTGGTAGCAGTGACTGGAAGCATGTGGAAAGTGAAAATCTGAGAAATATTCTGAATAGTAGTGGTAGTATTAGCTCATCACCACCTGGAAATAAAGGTGAGAAACTGTACGTTTAATTGCTAAGATAGTGTTCATTTTTTATTTTTTTTATTCTTATTTTGTTCAGTTTGCTGTTACTGTTTGGTCATTAGTATGTTTCATTTTTGTGCTAGTTATATTTGTACAGAAATATCTTATCTTGGCACAAAATAAAGTTTCACATGGCAAGAACAAATATTCTAGCTATGCTGAATTTCCTTTGTCCACTATTGTAAGTGATCAAAAATATGTTCTTGAATATTAATAATATGTTATTAAGTGTTTGTTGTTGTTGTTGTTATCAGACATCAAGGTGAAAAAAAGTGTTGATGTGGATGAATCACCAATTAAAGACAAGTAAGTTCATTGTGACAACTGAAAAACAAAAACTGTGAATGTTACTTATAATAACTAGACGTTTACTCTGACATACATACATGGTGGCATAACGAATTTATTGTTGATTGATGAAGGCAGAGTTGGATGGTTCTTTTGAAACCTGATGTCTCAAAAAGAAAGACATAAAAGTCATTACAGTCTTCAGATAAAATCATCACCTCTGTTTCTGCATTATTGACAGTGAAAGAGATAAAATCATAAATTATTTTACAGGTATAAATACAAATTAAACTAAGTTCAAAGGGAAGCAAAAATTAAATATTTCATTTGAGAATGTTCATGTAAAATACTTGTTCCAGCTATTTAATAAATTATGTATTCTAAAAATTGTACTGATTAGATTAGGTTTGATTGATGTATGTATATAATAAAAAACAAAGCACAATACCTTCCTGTAACTTTGTAGGTAAGAAGCAGAGAAACTGATGTTTTCATGGAAATATTTTCAGATTTGTCTTTGAGACTTTATTCCAGGGTCAAAAAACTCTATTAAAGATAACTTTGCTTGTTTGTTTTCTAAATGAAATTTCCTGTAAAAAAACATCTAGCATAAGTCTAGTATAAATAGTTTTTGATCAAACTTATTAAAAGTTAGATGTGTTACCTCTTAACTTCTTGATATGACTTCTGCTGAAAGTTTATTCATTTTATTAACTTTTCATCTGACAAAACACATGTTGTAAATCAGCATTTTTAAGATAGTTTGTCATAGAATGATATAGATATATGTAGTTGCATTTAAATTTCCAAAGATTATGTATGACTTCTTAACAGATTGAACAACAATGACTTGTTTTAATACATAGGGTTAAGGTTAATGAAAGTACAGAACAGATAAAAAGCCGCAGTAGACGTTACCTAAAGAGAGATGGGCGTATTGTACGAAGCCAGAGGAGCCGCTCTGATGGAGTTGCCAGGATGATACCAACCCAGCTTACTAGGGAAATAGAAAGAAAGAGAAACCAGACTCTCACCACTTTAGAATTACAGTTAGAGAAGACAAATTTGGAGCAGCAAAACTATAGTAACAACCAAGTCTATTACTTGGAATCTGTCTCAAAAGCAAAGACAGAAAAGTCATTAGAGAGTCTTCAGATAGAATCAATATCTCCGCCACTGCATCGTCGACGGCATACCAGTGAAAGAGGTGAAACCATAAATTATTTTACGGGTTCTTGTATAAGTTATTAATGATATTCCAGTAATATTTAGATAGCACTTAGCCAATATGAGCATCATGTTTATATGTTTTCTTTGTTATTTTATTTTTAAAACAAAGAAATCTCACAAGGTTCTTGAGAATGAAGACTGCCTATAAATCGACTGTAAAGCTTTAAGTGGAATTCTATTTAGTAATATTACATAATAAGATCGGACTAGTTTTACAATTTTAATATGCAGATTTAAGGTTTTTTTAATGTGTTAATATTGTTCTGCATCTGTTTTTGATAACACGCTTTGTTTGACAATTATAGAAAACTTTACAGTTAAGTGGCTTCTCTGATATACCACATTTTTTATCACGGTAAAAATGTTATTATTTTGAACACCTAAAGCCACAAAATATTGTAAACTAGTAAGATTCACATGTGTAATAAAAGTTACACTGCAGATTTTTTTTTCCATATTCCTCACTTGTTGTTTTATGTGATTTTTATCACACACGTTTAACCATACCAGAATTTTTTGGAAATTAATTTAAACACTTTCTATTTATATGGTTTAATATAATTATTGTATAGTCATGCTATGACTCTAAGTACCAGTTTTCCCCCTATCTTGCAACAAAAAAATGTTTTTGAAATTTTTTTATTGTAGATTTATGTTTAATATATTGGAGAAATGTTACAAGAAACTTTTTAATTTTTTAATTGACTCAAATACTCAGAAATTTGCTTTTTATTAGCCCTAAGACGTAATATTTATAAAAAGTGAAAAAAAGTAATTTCACATGCCTTAACATAGTATGATAGTTAAAGTCTGTGTATTCTTTAAACCATCCAAAAATTCTTGATAAACAGTTAGCAGATAATTAACTGTGTGAACCTGTATATGTTAATGTTATACTTAAGAGAACTAACAAATTTGTCTTAAATAAATCCATATGCCACCTACAGATATAGTAGCCTGAAGTTTATTAAGTGAAAAATTATTGCTCTTTTATTGAAAAATTTCCTTAGTTTTTCTTTAAAAAATTGTTGATTGTAGATGTTTATACATATTTCAAAGAAGTAAGGATGTAGTTGTGCCCAAGTTATCCAAAGATGTACAGTATTTTGATGAAGTTATAAAACCAAACTGTGGAAAGACAAAAGCAAGTTTAAAAAATATCTAGGATTAGTTGTATTTGTTTTTATCTCTGGTTAACAGAAGACTGTAAATACCAATTTTTCCTTGTTCTGTAACAATAAAATAATTTTAAAATTTGTATATTACAGGTTTATGTTTAAAAGCTTGAATATGATGGAAATACAAAAAAAAAGCTTTTTTTTTTTTTTACAAATTGTCAGAATTTTACCTTTCTTGTGAACTGAAAGGCTATCCAGTGCCACTCATAAAAGTTATAGTACAGCCTGATTCTGTAAAACATAAACGATTAAATAAACGCACATTTATTAAAGATATATGCCAGATAATAATGTCTTTTTTTTTTTATGGTACAGGAACATTTAACCAAAGACTTCTGTTTGATAATGATCGCGAGGAACAACCCCAGCATGACTATGATAGTGGTCTTCAGCGCTCAGCATCAGGAACTAACTTTCATAGTTCAAGGTGGAGGAATCAGAGTAATAACCAATGTGACATTACCCCGCTGTTGTCTCAAGATATTGGCAACAAGACTGTGTTGCCTCTGAAGATGTGTGATGTGGAAGATCTTGAAAAGCACAGAATGCTGGGTGTTGAAACTCGGGTAAACTTAACGAACATTTTGTCTTCAGCTACATCTCTTTAAATGTGTAATGTACATTTTAGCTAAAATAATGAGAAAAAACTTAGTCAGTGTGACATAGTACATGCTTGAACTACACTGTACAACCAATGACAATTACAGCAACAAAAAATAGCCCATAGTTACCTCAAACTGTATATCTCTTATGTAGTGTTCTAAAAAAAATGCCTCTAAAGATTTATTTTTTTATATGCATTTAAAGACACTTTCTATTAAAAATTAGGTTACCTCTACTGGTTAGTTTTCTTAATTTTTTGTTTATTTAATTGAAAATAGTTTACCTGGATAAACTACATGCAGATACAGAGACTACCTGCAAATATATAGAATACCTTCTCTGATATTACTTGTTGTTGCAATATTAGCAGATCCTCTTTGAAGAATAATGTATAAATATACGAGATAGGACAATCTGTGATATATAAAACACTTCTTCAATTTCCAGTAATGCATGTATATGCTATTAACATGTACTCAAGTAATTATTTTGCACTTCCATTTCATAAATTCATCTGCTTAATTCATCATATTATTCCTCATTACTCTATGTATACATGATTGCTTTATCTTCCACTTCTCATGTTCTGTACGAAATGATCACATTTTGTTTTTTTTAATATTCAGATATGTGGTGATCCCGATGGATGTGAATTAGATTTGCTGCCCTCGTCTTTTCCTGTTGGAGTACCTGTCCATTCAGAGTCCATGCCTGTAGTAAGGATAATTTTTTTGTTTTTACAGTTTATAAAAAAATATATATATGTGTGTGTGTTATTCATCCATTAACATAACAGTACAATGTGTTACTTTGACACAGTAGCTGAAATTTTAAATGTTATTTGTGAAAAAAAATTATGAAATGGACTTATCTTTGTATTTCATCAATGTTAAAAAGTCTGGTTAATCATGAAAGTATTTTAAGTATAATTCAGCTGTTGATAAATAAGATTTGCTCTAATACCTGTTTTCTTGTTTTTAACCTTATTTTACCCTATCTCTAGGACTTGTGTCTTAAAAAGGGTTGGCTGTTAAGGCAAGGCCTCAAAGACTGGTACAAGCAGTGGTTTGTTCTCGATAATTCCTGTCTAATATTCTATCGAGATCCTAATGCAGAGGAATTGAGCATCATGGACGGAATTGTAGATTTACAGTTGGTGAAAGAAGTAGAGGAGCTAGAATCGAACAAGAATCATGCATTTTGCATTAAAGTAAGTTGATATTTGTTGAAAAATAAACTTAAGGACTTAATGCCAACCATAATAAAAAAACAAAAATAGGGAAATTCAATTTCTCCACTATAAAAAGTCTATGAAATGTATTCCAATCTTAAACCTTGTTTACTCTACTTAAAAATATTTTTTGCTAATTTTTGTTCATTAATACAGTAATATAAAAATATATCATTTATCTTATATTTTTCCACAACCAAACAAAGTGTGTTAAAACTGATATTATATAGTAGAAAAAAACTGTTTAAATACATGTTGAATTATCATCATGAAATCTGGTAATAGTCACTTAAAAACAAAAGTAAAAAATTTAAGCAGTCATATTTTATAAGTATAATTACACATGAAATACAGCAATTTGAAATAATGACCCAATAAGTAAATAATACTTATGTGTATTAACCAACTATATTCATATACCTTCATAATAATGATTTTCATATTAATTTTATGTTCTCAAAACAGAAACAGTCATTGTCTTTTTTTTTTTACCTTTTTTTTCTCCTCAGAATTTGAAAAAATTGTAATAATACATAAGATAAACATCTGAATGGAAATGTATGTATGTGTATTACAATTTGGAACATCTTGTTAATGTAAAAAGTGTGTCATAGTCATATATTAGCCTTTTTTATGAATCCAGTTATTATTGTATTTGTATATCTTTCATATTTTTACATTATGTTAGCAAATTTTAAAATCCTTTTCAATATGACTATTTAGTTGTAACTGTTGCAAGATTATAACATACTTTAAACATTAAATTACAAGGAAAGCTAACCTCATCGGTTTAATTCTAGCACCTGGTTCATGAATCCTACCCTGACGGAATATTATAGAATATAAATTTGTATTCATTCTTCCACACACTAAAAAAAAGTCAGAGCTAACATTTAGTCAGGAAAAAAGTGTAATTTATTTAATTTTATAAACAAAAAAATAATTAATGAGCAGTTTTGATTTGGGTTGATTTCAGCATGCTCCAAACAAAAAAACATTAGTGTTTCTGATTTTCCTGAACATGATATGGCACTTGTAGCCCTGTAGGTTTAAATTTGTAATAGTTTTGAACAAAATAGCATTAAGTGGACCCTTGCAACTTCAACACAAATGAAGTTTTATAATTTACTCTTACTAAACTTAAGTGTGCTATAATTGTTTTAGCTTTGAGAAACCGTGGAGTAGTGATCTAAATATGTAATAAAAATTATTTTTATGCTATTTTCAACTGTATAAACCAATAAGGCATTCAGTTTAATGGAGACTATTGTAGAACGTGCAACAAAATGATCAAAGCTTAGCTTGGTGATATATTGATAGAAGAAAAGGTATTTATGAACAATTTTTCCACAATTACAATCTTTTTTTTTAAACTTGCTTTATCATTTTATACTTCATTTAAATTATGATATGCAGTATGATAGGGAGAGAAATGTTTTTTTGTGGAACATGATGAGACAGGCTTATTTAGATAATTTTTCCCATGATAATATCAAGTTTTATCTCACCAACAAGCTGTTTTTTGTTAGGTTATCTTCACATTAGGCCTCACTGGCCCGTAATACTGTTTAAATCAGGCCTCGACAAATCCTGGGTGCTAGGTCACCATGGTGTCTGAAAAGTTCAATATGGTGCCTAGTATTTTCTCCCATTTTATTCGTGTGTAGGGAATAGAACTCGAATCCAGAACAGTTCTGGACTCTTGGAAGTCTGGAACTATTTTCACATTGTTCTATGATTTGAATGGCAGATTTAGCACTTCTTCATGTTTTTTCAGGAATGAAATGGTGTGGTTGCTCAACATGTTACTAATTTCATGCCATTTTGATTTTCTTCTTTCTCTCAATTCAACCAATCAGTGCACACGTTTAAACTCAAACAGGATCAAAGACAGTTAGTTCAGGCAGTACTGTCAATGGTTGTTGATAATGTAATCGTTAGCATGCACTCGTAGCTATGAAAGTAAATAAATATAGCCCCTATTTTCCAGTACAAACAGTAATGAAATTAGGTTAGGCACACCAAAAGGCCTTTGCTTATTGTTCTACAATGTTGTAGTGATGAGTAGATTAGACCTATTCTGAAACAACCTGCTTGTCCTATCGATATTGCAATGTTTATTTTATTTTACTTTTATTCATTCCAAGAATCCACCTAAGTTATAGGTATTTAGTCTCCAGTTTTAATAATTGCACATAATGAAGTTTAATATATGTTGTATAATAAAGTCGAATAATGAACCATTTCTTTTTAAATATAAAACTATGTCTCGTACCATAACCATAAAACCGACCCAAAATATATTCTATAACTTTTCTAAATCGGACCTGGCTTCAAAGCTTTTGGGCTACCTCCTCGATCTGATAATATCTGTTGAGTCTGATTTAAATTGACAAAGAAAGTTACTGAAATGAACGTTTAAAAATGTGTATATAAATAAATATAAAACAGATTTAAAACTTATTACATATATATTGAATGAAAGCATCTGATTAACAATTTTTAACACAGATCACTTGCTAATAATTTTGGTATGGTAAAGTTATTTTTATTGTACACCAGAGATCTAAAACACAGTGGAACTGTGTGCAATGTTTTTTGAATCAAAAGAAAGATAAAATTTACAGTTTTATAAATTAAAAACCTTATAGGAAAGTTTTTAAAAGAATGCAGGAATATACAAATATTAGTAATTGAAATCTATCACAAAATTAGACATTTTTCACCAGTTCTTAAAAATGAACATATCACATGGAAATCTTTTCAAAATTTCAATGTTGCGAATTCATACAAATATTGTGTAAAAAAAAAGATGTTTTATATACATAAGTTACGTAACTGTAGAAAGTTCCCAAATTTTAAACTGTTTTATTCAGTAGTTGTTTTGCAATGCAGTAAAACAAACCACAGAACAGGTGCATTGAATCAGTGCACTTGGGCATTTTAGAGTTAACTTGCAGTTTTAGTTTTGATTTTTATTATTTATTTTTTGGAATTTTTCTGATAGTTTTCAGAAATTCTCACCATTTTAGTAAATGTTTTTATATCAACAGAATTTTGTTCCTTTTCTGGTGACACCATGTAAAAAGTGTTAATCATATAAACTGTATTCTTACATGCTAGAGAAATTTATATACATGACTTCAAAATATGTTATTGGTTGACTTAATAAGGAGAAGGTGGTATGTTATCAGTTAGTAGAATCTATTTTTTTAATGTTGTTCTAAGTTCACCATAAACCAAAATATCCAGTTTTATATTTATTTACCACAAAATATGTTATTGGTTGACTTAATAAGGAGAAGGTGGTATGTTATCAGTTAGTAGAATCTATTTTTTAACGTTGTTCTAAGTTCACCATAAATCAAAATATCCAGTTTTATATTTATTTACCACAGACATTTGACAATAAGAAGTATGTGTTTGCTGCTGTCACTGCGGGTATTCGAAGCAATTGGATTCAGACAATCCAACATGTTGTTGAAAATTGGGATCCATTAACAGTGCATAAGAAGAATCTTACAGATGTTTCCCTAAGAAATCAACATGAGAAATCTGGTTTAATTAGTCCTGTACGTAGTGATGAGCCAATCAAGCTATTGGATGCTTCTTCCAGTGATGATCCCTCTGAATACTTTTCAATTGTGGATGATGATGAAGGAACTGAACAACCAGCTTCTCCACGAACATTACCTCCCTCCCCACCTCTTAATAGAACTGCCATATCAAAAGTCAAAGAAAAAGCTCGATCTCGTTCATCATCAAGTTCTAGAATAGGTCATCAGCTACGATCTCCTGGTCTACCAGAGAATGAACATTCTGTGAGCTTTACTGAAATTGATCAACAGAGTGATGGTGGAGTAAGTGACCAGTCTAATTCAAGTTTTCAAGGAGGGGACTTGTGCTACTGGGATAGGAAGGCTTCATCTAGGGTAAGATTTAATATAGCACAAAGATAAATAATACCAAAATGAAAGCAAACTTGGATTTGTTCTTCTGTAGAATTCAGAAAAAAATAATGCCACAAAATAATAAGTCCATAGTATTCTGTTTTTTTAAGGTGCCACTTGAAATTTTTACATGGCATAAAGTATATAAAGCAAAAAATCTCATAGTAATTTTTAATTTGAAACAAGTTGTTCTTCAAGACTCCAACACTAAAATCTGGCAAAGCATTAAAATCAACAGGCTTAACATTTATGATAAAAATTGCCGATATTTTTTTCTACATAGGTATTAGTTTAATAGTTTTAATTATTACTCTTTTGATTTAAAAAAATAAAAGGTAAAAATTTTGTTGTTTTATCTCAGGAATATATGAATGAAAATCTTGAAAACAAAAAGAAAATTACTTCCAGCAAGAATGAAGCAATATCAGATTCATTAGTAGCTCATAATAATCATCCTGATTTGCAAATATCAAAGAATGAAGCATTGATACCTGAAAAGGATGAGGTTGTGAAGTTAAGTAATGGTAAAGGTACATTTTTAGTAGAAGAGTATATAGCTGAAACAAAACTTGATCAGAAAAGTAAGGAACAGAGGATCAGTAAAGGAAATTCCAAAGAAATTCCTGAAAAATTCAGCAGCAAGGATAAACAAAGAGAGAGGGATCAGAAACAGGGAGGAAATGGAGAAAATGTATATAAATCAAAATATGAATCTTTAAAAATGAAGTACAAAAAAGACCGAGCAGAATGGGAAGACATATTGTCTAAAGAAAAAGCATCCAATCCTCTCAGATCAAGAAAAATGGAAGACTTACAAGAAACTCTTCAGAATTGTAAAGAGCAGCTTTGGAGTATAAAGTGTAAGCTAGAGAAATCTACTGAAAAGAAAAGGGATGTTCTAGTTTCCTGGAGAGAGATTTCTAAACTGTATGAAGATGTTGAGAAGTTAGTTGGTTCCAGTGAAAGAAGATCAAAGAAAGATATTGAAGTATCTAAATTAAAACAATTGATAAGTGAACTACAAGGAACATGCAATGAAAGAAAAGAAGAACTTGAAAGCCTGAGAAATAAATATGACTCACGTAAGAATTACATAACAGAGTTAGAGCAGGATCTAATAAGAACAGGTGCTGAGCTAAAAAAGACCACAGTGGACAAAGTAGACCTGCAAAATGTTATTAAGCAACTTGAGAAAATGCTAAGGAGCTCTCTGCATGGTTCTGATGAAGTATCTGTCAAGGAACAGGATTCTTTCTTGTTGCTGGAGAACTTAGAGTTGAAGACCAAACTAGAAACACTATCTGAAGTCACAAGGAGTCTCAAAAAGAGGTTAGAGAAAGCCCACCAAAGTTTTGATGATCTTGAAATCAACTATTACAAGCTACAGCAGGATGTTAAGAGGATGCAGGACAGCCATTCCTCTCAGCTATCTCTGATGACTGCTCGAGTTGATGATTTAACTACCAAACTTACAGGATCTGAGAGAAACCTTCGACAAACAAAACAAAAACTCACAAGGAGTGAGTCTAGACAGGAGAGACGTAAAAGCTCACTTCGTGGCAAGGATGGCTTGAATGTGTCCAAAGAATTTGAATTAAAACTAGTAGACTTAGAACAGAAATTAGAATCACTTGAGTATTCTTTGAAAAACTCCCAAGAAGGCAAAGAAGGAAGTGGAGAATTTGTTTCTAAGTCACAAACACAGGCAAATAAACAGAGCTCTGAAAAGTCATCCGGAGAAACCCAGGGATTCTTAATTCGACTTAATAATTTGGATACAAAGGTGAAAAATGTGTGTAGTTTAGCAGAGTCCATAAACCATGAAAATGATCAAACAGATAGCTTAGAAAAGCCCAAGATCTGTATACAGGTGAAAAATGATAGTGAAGAAAGTGGTCCAGAAGAATGGAGTACACTGTCCTTAGCTAACAGCATCACTGATCTCCATGAACTAGGAGCAGAAGAAGGTGATGGTGAAAAACCTCAAACGCTTTCTGAGTGTGTGTATTCTCTGTTTGAAAAAGTTCGATCTTTAAGCCTATGGTTTAGAAATGTTGTATACCTTCTCCATAAGCAAGAAGGTCTTGATGGAAGTATTAATACAGAATTGAAGCACCTTGTAGAAGCTGTTGAGTGTTTATCTTTTGGTGTTAGTGAAAACTTGCAAGTGAACCAAGATAAGGGATCTCTGTTCGAAGTAGTGTACCAATTGACTCTTCTTCAGGAAGCTGTGAAAGGTGTAGATAGACTTGCCAACTTCAAAGTTTCTGAAAAGAGAAATTTGATTGAAGAAATAGTGAGGATAAGCCATTGGCTGTTAACATTAGAGGAACAGCTGTCTTCTTCGGCAAAAGATGTATCTATTAATGGAGGCTGCACTGCAAGTAATCTAGCCGTAAAGAAAACATTGTGTGTACTCCTACAAGATTCTGTTTTTGTCTCAGATACAAGTGGATTACAAGTGAATAGTTGTTCTCAGGACAGTGTCCAAAAACTCAATTCTGATATGACCACTCAGTTAAATAGCCTAGAAGGTCTATGGAAACGTGTTAGTATAGTACTGAACAGAATAAAAACTGATAATCTAACAGCTCTTTTTTCATGTCTGAAAAACAGTTGTGCTAGTGAAGCCTGCAGATTACATGAACAGCTATCAATTGCTGACTTGTCACCTACAGAAAAAATCATTAATGAAGAATTAGTTTTAGCAGAACTTTGTCATGTTGTCACACAGACCTGTGAGAAAATCTGCAAGTTATTAGTCCTCCAACGAAACCAACAGATCAGGATACTGTGCCGTGATCAGGATATGTGTGAGATGTGGTGTACAGTGATTGATCAATCAATTCATCAAGAACTGGACATATTTTCTTCAGAACTTCGTACTGGTTTAGCAAAACTTCCATTATTAAATAAGTTAGACTTGGAGTGTCTTCTTGGTAAAGAAGCTCTTACAAAGGCAGTTGAGTTATCACATCTTCTGGCTCTTAGTGGTACTTTCCAGGGAGTTCTAACATACTTTAGAAACCAAGAGGAAATTATAACCACCAATAAAAAGAGTAAGTATATTAAAAAAAACTCAGGTTTGTGTGATGAGCAGTGGGTGAATCGGGTGCGAGCCTCTATATATCAACGAGCAGAGCAAGCTGTTTTTGGTTTTTCTTCTGTCTTAACACAGAATACCTGTAGATGTATACATGAAGCAAATGAGAACAGTTTAGAAAAGCTTGCCAGACAAAATGCTTCAAATTTGGTTAATCTGCAGAGTCATTTTGAAAAAGAGCTTTCAGAAGAAACGGGTCTTTTGCAGTTGCAGTTGGAAACCTTACAACAGGAGCCAAAGCAGCAATTGAAACAAGAATGTTGCACATGTGGTGAACTCAAGCAGAAGATTTACCAACTGCAGATACAGCTTGAAGAATGCCAGCACTCTTCAGAAAAAAGCAGTGTGTGTCATCATTGTGAGGAACTTCAAAACCAACTTACTCATTTGAAGGATAATCAAAAAGAGGAACTACAAAGCCTTAAATATGAACACCACAACAAAGTGGAAGCTATAAGAAAGGATATGAAGGAATTATTTGAGCAACAAGTAAGTAACATTTTAACAGAACTTTTCTATGTTTTTACCTATGCATAATTCATATTTTAGGAATTATTAAACAAAACAATTAATAATATGGGCTTTTCCTCCATTTATAATTTATTTTGGTTATTCACTGGACAAGTAAAAAAATTTCAGAAAACTGAAAGGTAAATTGGAATATAATTCCTATTATAGGCCTGATGACTACAACAAACCTGTGAAATTCAGCAATGTCTTCAGTCATATTTTGTTTCGATTTGGTAAATTTATTATATAATACAGTAACAACATTCTATAATTGTGTATTTTGTCTTTTACTATACTATATGTCCTTTTTTTACACAGAAAAAAAGGCAAATTATTTCAAACCTTGAACTTCTATGAGAATTAGCTAAATATTGAGACAAACTTTGTGTCATATATATTTTTTGGTAATGTTACATTTGAAGTTTTTAAATCGATGATAATTAACAATAACATTTATTCATCCCTAAGTTATTCCAATTCACAAGGATTCTTTCCATGTTGTTTCTGAGAAAAAAAATTGAAGCCTTTATTTTATAGTTTGTTGAGCAAAGGTCCCAAATTCATTGACATTCTCTGTTTTTAACTTGATCTCAAGTGATTAGACATAACATATATTGTATTAAAATCAGTGTTTTATATATGTAAATACATCTCAGAAAGTTGTAAAAAGTTTTAAAAGCCAAACTTGTCAAGGTCTTCACACATTTTTAGTGTTTACAAATTTTTAATTTTTTTAGTACTTAATATTCATAGTCGAGTGGGTATTTGCCCCCAAAAAAGTGAAAATCGTTATAAGTGATAGAAATTAAACATTATACAAAATTGTTCATTCTCTGTCATCGGTTGTAGCATTTACCAATTCAAAAATGTATGCACTCTATGTATATATATATGTTCATGTATCATTGTAATAATTTTGTTATACGTGCTTTTTCATGTTTTAAGAAAAAAACAGCTCTTAAAGTTTTTGAATGTTTGTACAGTAACCTTTTTTAATTCAAAAACTTGTTACTTAGTGACATTATTAGAAGTATTTAGTTTTTCAGAGCCACTTTTCAAGTAAAAATCTTGGATTGATAGATAAAAAGATGTTTATATTTGTGGGTTACTATTATCAGCATTTAAAGTTAAATAGAGTATTTATTATATTCATAACTGTTTGGCTAGTCAGATATTACCTATTCATGCATTGGAAATATGGGAACTTTCGTTTTTTTGTTTTTTTTTTCATAAAATAGATTAAATTATCCAAATGTCAGAAAGATTTAGAAAAAAGCTGGATAATTGAAACACCTGTTGAAACCTCATTGCTGTTTTCTGTTTTGTTTTCTTTCTTATAGGATAAACTCCACAGTGAGGAAGTCAGTCAACTTCAGAACGAACTCCAACTTTCTCAGAAACGCTTGAAGCATCTTGAGGTACTTAAAGCATTGTAATTGATCATTTCTTTACATAGAATGTTTTTTCTAGTACTTTGTTTAAATTTAGCATATTCAGTTCTGCTCACTAACTAAAAATTATCATAGTTACGCCTGCAAGTCATGATTTTGACACCATTGTTCTTAATGATTAACAGGAATTAAAGTTTTGCCATTAGATGATAGCCCACTTATTTACCAAAATAAAGAAGAGGGTAATCCTTTAGCAAGAGCTGGTAGCAGGTATGTTTGCAGTCACACAACTTCTTTGAAGAAAACATCAAGAAATGAAAACGAATGTACAGTTTTAGGAATATTTTTTACCAGTGGAGAAAACTACTGCTCCATAATGATGTTAGTGGTAAGCTTACAAAGAGAAAGTGTTAAAATTGGACAAATTGTAAATTTACCGACTCTACAAAGAAGTAAATACTGCACATTACTTTTGATGACCACGTATTGACTGTTTGAACATTTATCCCTTCTCTTGCAACAGTCAGTCATGGCACTCATTACAATACAGTGAAATTCTGTCTATGATTCTTTGTGCATTGAATCTGAATGAAATTCAGTGTGTTGCATAGGGAAATAATAGTAATAATAATAATGTAAAGTTATTATTGAACTAATTTTTTTTTTGCATTTGATTGACAGTAATAGACCAAGTATTTCATCTTTATGCTTACAAGAAGTAAATGGTGACTACCAAGCTATTAACCAGCCAGCCTGTTGTTTCCTAGCAGTTTGCTTTGGTAGTTCTGGATATCTATGCAACTTGAACATTTAATTTACATTAAACAGATGCTAAATTAACATGAAATACATTTCCATATTAGCTGTAGCTATCAAGATACATAACTTTAGATCTAATATGTTTATTAAGAATAAGTTTTAACAGATTGTCAGAACAGTAGTCTCTCTTAGGTACGAACAACTTGTCTGCCATGATAAAAAAGGAAGTCGTTATTCAAAGGATCAATAACTAGATAACGAACAACTAAGTTCAAGCTGTGCCAGTTGCTATTATCAAGGCTTGAGCATATTGGTTTATATACTATATAGGTAATCAGATGACATAGCAAATTGGTATATTAATAGTTCTAATGGATAACAATTCAATAAAGATAACTTAAAATTTTTTGTTTAGGTTTTATGTAAAATAATTTATTCATAGATCACAATTGTTTGATAAATCATCACATCTCTATTTCATAAAACATACATGTATCACATTTTTATTTCATGCATACAAAATATGACAAATTGACACCAAATCTATTTCCCAAAAATATTGTCCATCTTTGTTTGTTTTGTACATTTAACAGGGTTCATGAGTGTGGCAGATATGATATCGAGAAGCTTTTTGTTGTTTGTTTTCAGTGTACCAAAATGAGGTGAGGTGTTTACATTTTTGCTTTTCTTGAGGCATTGTGAGACAGAGTCTGTCTTTGTACAAAAATGTGATTTATTTTTTGATACATATTGGTATTTATACAGCAAGCCACAGTTTAACTACTCACTAGGAGAATTACCTTCGTCATGCATCATCTCACATCTCGATAAAACACTCATTCTGACTGCTGATTGGCTGGTGAGGGTTTTCCCAGCTTGCATCATTGTCTCATTTTTATGGCCATTTGCACACTACTCGACAAAGCACTCTTGTGTCAACTGGTGTAATCAAGCACAAACTGCTGTTGAAATTATAAATTTTTTCTGATCACATTGAATAATTGAGGTTGAGATATTTTTACTTTGAAGAATATTACATAAAATATGAAAATTTCCCAGCCTTCTTATTCATTTTCATTGTGTGGTGTGGCATCTTATCACTCACCTGTTATGGACATCAACAAACTATAGTTTAATTATCACCAATTCAGATTATAGTACCTACATGTACGCATAAAATCAAATAAATGAACAGACAACAAACACAACATGTTTACATGTTTTTATTGAAATGAATGAAAGTTTCTATTGAAAGGCTGTTATCTGACCTTCTGCCCAAAAACCATGGTTGTATGTCGCATCTGTCAGGAAGTGTTTGTGGGAGGTCAGATCAATGTAAAATCATTCCATGCACAGAAAAAAAGTTATATCTAAAAGGAAGTTGTTATTGGGAGAGGTCGTTACCACCAGGGACGACTGTATGGAGTTGAAATATAAATGAAGTAACATCATATCTTGACGTGTTGTGTGAACTAATAAGAGGTTATGAACTTAATGTGACCGGTTTCCATTAACTTGTCAGTTGTTATGGATTATTAATTTTTTGTAAGTAGATCATATTAATTAATAAGCTCTGCATTCTTTCCTGCTAAGGATGTTTTTCATCTTAACCCTGATTAATTATTAAATGCATTTTGATATCTTCAGGGTTCTTATGAGTGCTTTAAAACCTAGAAATTCCTGAAAGACTTCTTTAACAAAATCCAGCCTTGAAATACCCTGGAAAATTGACATTTTATTATAAGGTCATGGATTTTTATTTTTTTCAATTGGAAGTTATTATTTATTTAAGTTACTTCTTGCATTCTCCATTTTAAAAGTTTCCAGCTCTTACATATATATTGGACATAACCTAACTTGTGCTTTTTTGGTTGAATCACCACCTTGTCATTCAATCTGTATTCTCATGTGAATTCTGTGCCTGTCAATGCTAGTGGATGAGGTTGAGATTGCTGATTAATAATGGGTTAGTTAGCTGTATGTTTAGTTCATAAGTGGTGTTGTCCAAAACACTTTAAATTCACCAAAAAATGCTAGCCAATTACCCTTTTAATGACAGATGGCCAAAAGTTACATTTATACAGTATTCTGATTTATATACACAGGAAATTTTAATAAGATACATAAAATAACACTTTGTTTCTAAAATAAAGATATAGGAAGACCTACTGATTCAAATTACCAATTTTTTTTATGTAATACAACATGAAAAATGTTCCAAAGATCCTCTTAAAAAAAAAACCCACATGTGTACATCCAAAAGCCATAGGATCAAAATCTATTGTTGAACATACTCTTTCAGCTGTGAGGGCATTATAATATGTTGATTAATCCTACTGTTTGTAGGTTGGCAGTTCAAAAGTAGGAACAGTGGCAGATAAATTCAGTAGTTTTGCCCTAAATAAACGAAATTTCTAGTTTTCTTCTTATTCATTCCCTGAAGGCTTTCCAACTTTGTAAGATAAAGTTATGATAATCAAAGATTTTATTTTATGAAATAAATTGACGTTATTGTAAATTTTAATGTTGTTTGGCTTTAAATTTAGGCTACTTGTAAAATATCCAAAACTTTGGCTAAGTGTGCATTTGCCTAATGAGCTTGACCAAGAGAAGTAGCTCAAAATGTCAAGATAAAATAAAACACTACAGTTTGCAAGCATTAGAAACCAACAGGCCTAAAATCTGTGATAAAAATCATGAAACTGCAGAAATATTTTTCTTCCACAATCCTCTTAATTTATTCACATCAGCTTTCAGTGCTTAAACTTTTATATAGGAAAATAACTAAATGCAGATTTTTAGAAGTAATGTGTCACCTGCAGTGCCTATTTCCTAACAACTTAACACTAAGCAACTGAGCAGAGGTTAATCGGAAACAGGATATCTCTAAAGCTATTAAAACAAAAATAAATTTACAAACGTCTTTGTCCTTTAGTCCTGGAAATTATAATATAGGTGGCCCTTTAAAGTTCTTGAACTCGCTTGGAAAAATAGGATATGAACCCTGTATTTTTGTTACCAGAATTTGAGTTGAATGAACTTATAAGGAAGTATGTTTGAGCATTTTTGTCATTTTATGAACTTATTTAATGACTATTAACATCTGTGTTGTAGTGTGGGTATAATGATTAGATGAGAAAGGTTGATTAATTAATTTTACATATTTTGTGTTTCAGTTCGAATATGATGAGCAGATGAGGAGCCTCATTGAGGTTTACCAGCAAAAACTAGAAAAAAAACATGAAATCATCAGTGAGGAGTCGATACGGAGACGCTATCAGTCAGAAATTGAGCAGTGGAGGGTCAGTAGATAAGTTTATATGTTTGAAATAGATTAATGTAATGTAGTATTTTTAATTGTTCAGTATCATTTTATTCATTAAGTGAGTGAAATGAACTTGTTTCAAATGTATTGCTAGGCTTAAGGTTTGTCTGCTTATTTTTGTAGTGTTGCTCTCTGTTGTTGTGTCCTTTCAACACATAAAAATTCATAATTCGTTAAGTGAGTGAAATGAACTTGTTTCAAATGTATTGCTAGGCTTAAGGTTTGTCTGCTTATTTTTGTAGTGTTGCTCTCTGTTGTTGTGTCCTTTCAACTCTTCTTACCTTCTCAAATTGATGTAAAGACCTTTTTTTCAGTCTTTATTTCATCATCACCATCTCTGCAAACACATCCAGAGAAATTCTTCAGTTGCATGACATGTATTCGGGATATTTCTTTGTTTTTCATATTCTTCAAGCATCTTAAATTATAAAGTTTCTTCCTTGACTGACATTAGTAATATGTTATTTCAAGCCTCACATTGTTTTTGTTCTTTATACAAAGTGTTTGCAATCTGCTGTATATTTGATGTAAGGAAGTTAGTTAAGAAGTCTTTGGAAGTTAAAGAATAACACAATGAAACCTATTAGAACATCTATCTTCCTCTCAGTATCAGATTCTAATATACACAGAAGGTGTCCTTATAATCAGGTTATAACTATATCTTTTTATGTGTCTATCTAGTTATTTTAAAATACGTGTTGAATACATAACTTATTTTTCACTTTAAACTATTACTCTTTAACAGAATCTGTCTGAGAAAGGGCTTGTGGCAATGGAAAATTCCTATAAACGAATGATAGCTGACCTGGAAAACAAACACCAAATGGAAATTGAACAACTTGAGAATGAGAAAGAGAAAGCTTTAGCTGAAGAAACTCAAGCAACAAGAGCAGGTGAGATTGCTAATTGTTTTTATGTAAAGTATTGTGTTTTATATTTGGCATTCTGGTATTATAATATGAAGTTTTTATAGTTTCCCTAGTGTAGTGTGTGTTTTATGGTAGACTTTTGTACTAACTCACTGTTGCGATGTGTTTATTTTCTAATTTTGTTGGGTGAAGTCTTATAGTAATTCAGTAACATGGTGTGTTTAATGTTCTGATGTTGTCAGTTAAAGTTTTCTAATTCACTATCCCCCAGTGGCACAGCAGTATGTCTACAGACTTATAATGCTAAAAACGGGGTTTCAGTACCCATGGTGGGCACAGCACAGATAGCCCATTGTGTAGCTTTCTGATACTATAAGATGATGTTCTGTACTAATTCACTGGTATGGTGTGTTTGATGTTCTAATGTTGTAAGGTGAAGTATCATCTTAAATTCTTTTATTAGGTGTCTTCAGTGTTCTAATTTGTATGCCAATGGTGGACAAAGCTTTTTTTATGACACCTCCTTTCTAAACATGTTTTGTTTCACCCTCCCCCTACACTTCATATAAAGATAGAACACGTCATCAAATTGTACATAGCATAAAGCAAACAGTTTCAGTTTATGCACCAACTTAGTTTGAAGGATGAGCTTGAGATAAGATGAGATCCATTCTTGGCTCAATTGCTGACACAGCAACTTGGAGATATCCCTCTATTTGCAGATAAAATAACTTTTTTTATTTTGAATCCTGTCAGAGCAGAGAACACTCACTCCCTGAAGTATATTAATTTGAAAGGCAAAAGAATGTCCATTATTTTTCTTGACAGGTCAGCGTATTCTTTGCAATCTAACATCTAGAAATTACTAAGAGGTTTTGACTTGAATTCTGCATAAAAAGTTTTATTGTGGTGAAAAACTCATCAACGATATAGTAATTGGTTTCTCCTGTAACTCTACCTTCAAGTACGTGAAAAAATAGAAACTCTTCACACACTTCCTCTTTGTAACAGTATCATACAAATGCCAGAAGCTGTCTGTGGCTTCATCAAGTTATATTGCAAATTTTGGAACTGTTTTGGAGATATAGTATCAATTTCGTTTTTATGTTAGCAGAGATTACATCTATACTCCTTGTGAAATGATAGACTTGAAGGCCTCACGTTATTTCTCTCCTTGCATGCTCTCGCACATTTTTATAACAGCAGGAAGAATTAATGTTTATCTTATATAGTGTGACCTCATGCTTCTCCAATCAAATAAAATGCTTATAAAGAAGCTTTCAAGGTTTTTGATGGAACAGTGATCTGCTTTTCAAGCAAACTGCTACACCCTTTCATTTGTTTCACTTATCACTTAAAGAACTCAATAATTCTACCCACATGCCCAGGGTGTTTGGTTTTTAAATGCCTTGTATGTTTATTTGGCTTCATGCTGTCATTAGCTAAAATCTGCAAACAAATAATACAATGTGTTTTTTTCCTATGTAAGTAATCCTTCTGGTATTTAACACTTTAGTTTTTGGTTTGGTGTTTAGAAACCAAAACCAATGAAGTGCTTGGTCCAACTACAGGTCCGTTTTTATTGTTCTTTATTATCACCATCATTTAATGATTTCTTCTGTTTCTTTACTTCTGAGCCATCATTTGAAGAAACATGAGATGGTTTTTTTTGTTATGTAACACCCACTTATCCATGTTTTTGACAAACTGTTAATTATACACTAATGTCCAAAACTTGAAACTAAAAGGCTGGCAAATGTGTAAAAAGAAAATCTCATGATATCTCGGTCATCCAGTCAACACTCACGTTGCTTTTTCTTCGTGAAATGTAACCATGACTACAGGATACATGCCCATATCATTGGTTTATAGATATTATAATATGATTATTTGGGGTTGTTGTTGCCTGAGTTTTTGAATGCTTCTAATAAAATTAAATTTTTAAACATTGTACTTTTGATGTGTTAACAGTGTAAAAGGTTATTTTATTCTGAATTAATCAAATCTCTTCTTTAGCTAGTGACAAAAATAACAAACACATGGACAAAACAATAACTATAATGAAGGTTTAACTGGGAAAGTGGGGAGGGGAATGAAGTATTAATTAAACAGATTCAATGTTGACTGATCAGCATCACTTGTCAACTCAGTTCTACTAAAAAATAAGACAAAACAACTAACTATAATGGAGGTTTAACTGGGAAAGTGGGGAGGGGGAATGAAGTATTAATTAAACAGATTCAATGTTGACTGATCAGCATCACTTGTCAACTCAGTTCTACTAAAAATAAGACAAAACAATGAGGGATTAACATACAGTTGATAGTGAATGTTTATTCTCTTTGTACCTCTTGATACTATGAGGGATTAACATACAGTTGATAGTGAATGTATATTCTGTTTGTAGCTCTTGATGCAATGAGGGATTAACACACAGTTGATGGTGAATGTATATTCTGTTTGTAGCTCTTGATGCAATGAGGGATTAACACACAGTTGATGGTGAATGTATATTCCGTTTGTAGCTCTTGATGCAATGAGGGATTAACACACAGTTGATAGTGAATGTTTCTTATATGTGTACCTCTTGATGCAATGAGGGATTAACACACAGTTGATAGTGAATGTTTCTTATTTTTGTAGCTCTTGATGCAATGAGGAAAGCTCACAAGGAAGAAGTGGAGCGGGAAATTGTTAAGTTCAAAGATGAATTTCTGAAGCAGATGGAACATACACACAGTGGAGAAAGCCTGTATAAGGATCATGAGTAAGTACACTCCTCCAGACTTACAATGCTAAAATCTGGGGTTTAATGCCCTTTAGTAAACAAAGTGCAAATAGTCCATAAGCAGCTCTGTACCAAAAAACTAACAAACACAACCAGACAACCATCTGTAGACAGTAATAAAATACTCTTCCAAACAAGTACATAGTAAGAAGTGCAATCCTTCTGTTAGATGTGGAGAAAAAAATATGTGCAATCCCCAAAAAAGAATTTATAAAACTACAGTCTTTCAGATATATGAGTGTAGTCAAGATTAGGTATAATTCTGTAGACAGATATTTTTAGGTGAATTAGTTCAGTCCTTCAGGCAGAATAGACATGTTTGTTTTATTATTGGTTTTGATGGGATTGAGCACATTCTACTTGAGAGGTATTTGTTCACAGAAATGAATATTATTCGGACGTATATTCATATAATGAGGTTGAGTATGCTGTATTATAATGATTTTGGGGCCTTACAATATAGTCACAGTCCATATCACCATTCCAGTCATGTTCAATCTGATGGTCACACATCTTGAAAATAGCCCTGTAGTGTAGTTTCCAGTGTAAAATGCTCCATCATAAGGCTGTCATCTACAAAGCACACCCCTCCTTCCTGTTTGCTTTCCTTAAGTCATCTAGTGCAGTGCTCCTCAACTAGGTGAATGGTTAACCCGGAGTATAATGAGATCAGAATCAGGGTGAATGAGAATGATTGGGTGAATGGCAGAGTGAATGAGTATTATCAATTATACAACAAATTCAAGAGCAAAAAAGTCATTAGTTAGTATTATTTATTCTAGTTGTAGTTTGATATGTATTTAAGTCATAATAAAGAATTTTGCATTTTAATTTAGTACTTTTGTCTTTTTTTTTTTAACTGGAGTGAGTGAGCTCTTTTGAAAAACTTGTAGGGGTGAATGATATTGGAATAGGTTGAGTGTATGAGAATGACAGTTTCGTAGCACCTGGTTCAACAGTCTGATCACACAGAAATCCATAGGCATTGGATACAGTGACTTTGTATGAAATAACGTGAACTGTCATTTCATACTCCAGCTGCTAGAGGTATGAGATTATTAAGCAGATATGTTATTGGAAGCAATTTATATTACTTTACTAAATAGACATACTTTTTTTTTATCATGTTGCTTCCTGTAGCCTGAAATGTGTGAATGGCTTTTGCCACTGATCTTTGTGTTTGTGAATTCTCATCTGTTATAAAATTCTTCACTTTGCTTACCACAGTTGGGGCACAACTTGCTACAGGTTTCTTTCTTGCAGGTCTTGATGCCCCAAGTTACTCCATATTCCTTTATTTTCCAATGCCTATAAGTGCAAGGGATATCTCTGTTTTGGAAATTCTAAATCTCCAAGATAAACACATCTTTATAATCTGAATGTATGAATATCTTGTAAAGGGCTGTTACATACTCTTCCAGAAAGTGATCAGTTTTTGATGGCATCGCATTACCTAAGAAATGTCAAAATAAGTTTGTGATACATACCATTCCACCACAACTTTATATGGGATGTGGTTTGTGATGACATTTGCTGATCTGAATATTCAGAATTGTTTTAATATAAAGTACTGAACCCTCTTATATATAAGTAATATGAACTCGACAGCCATGCTTAATCTGTAATCGTTGCATTGTTCAAAGGAGGTTATGTAGAAACAAGCATCAAAATGTGTTTGAGCATTTGGGGCCATTTTAGTTTCTTCAATAATAATTACAATTAGAGTCACAGAAGTGTTTCTCAAATCAGGTTCATTAGTAATTTCATCTATATAAAATGTTAATAAGCTGCTATTATAGTTTTGGTATAATGTAGTTGCTTTGATTTGAATGGTTA